AGATATAAAATATTAGATTCTAATTCATAATTCACCTGGCGCCTTCTAAATTCAAAAAATAAATGTTCCACGAAAAAAACATTTATAAACATTTACGCTTTGCCAAAATCTTTATTATTTATTCATATTAACGTTTACATTACATTCATTTACTAAAAATACACACACGTTTTTCAGATTTGCGCTCTGCTTGCTAAAATTTAATTACATTTTCCTTCGAAGAGCAAAATAAAGGGGTAATAATTAATTTGGCCTTTTTATTTATTTTCTTTTGAATCGCAAAGAAAATATTCACAAGAAGCGAAACTATGCTGGAAATAATTAATAAACGTTGGCTAACGTGAAACATAAACAATAATAAATTTTTGCTGCGATGTAAACAGACCACCAAAAAAAAAAAAGAGAAAATAACAAAAGGCGAAAATAATGAACATTTCATGGAATCAAAATTTTGTGCCAGATGGGAGGGAGAGTATGAAAAGTACGGGAAATGTGATGGGAAGGATTTAGGAAAATGATCAATATTTACAATCAACACCCAGGCAATACGGCCGAAGCTAGAATCTTGCACAAAGATCAGTCCTGGTGTTTAGGCGTGTAATAAGGCTGGGTTTTTGGAAAATTCGTACTAAAAGGGTACGAAAAGTATTAAAAAATATAAAAAAGCATTGTATTGGACAAACGGAATGAGCTATAAGTGATGAGTGCAGGATGATGTATCGAAGTAATAGCAATAAACTCCTTAAATGGTGAATGGATAGAGCTAAAAACTTGAAATTTGCTATCAAGGTTGGAAAGTACGTTTGTTATATGAAGGCGGTTTTGGAATTGGGTACTAAGTGTGCAAACTGTTCTAAATGGTACTAAATTTAGAACAGTTTGGTTTAGGGTTAACAGATGAAGATGGAATTTTAAAATGTTGTATTGGGAACCCTGTTGATGGTAGATTTGTGATAAAGAGGTGATTTTGGAAATGGGTCCTACAAGAGAACGAAAAGTACTAAAAAGTACTATATTTGGTACAATTTGGTATTGCGTGAGCAGATAGTGCTTGAAATCTGAAATGTTGGTATTAGGGTCACTGTTTATGTGTAGCTTGTGCATATGGAGGTGGTTTCGAAAATGTGTACTATAATTGTACGAAAAGTACTGAATGGTATGATACTTGGTGTTGGGTGAGGGCATAGGGCTGGAACCTTTAAATTTGGTATTGAGGTATGTGTTGGTATCTGGAGTTGCGGTATGGAGGTGGTTTTGGAAATGTGTACCATAATTGTACGAAAAGTACTAAATAGTACAGAATTTGGTAATGGGAGAAGGGTTAGAGCTGAAATCCTAAAATTTGATATCGATATCGCTGTGCGTGTCTGCAGTTAAGATATGCTAAATTGGGTATTCGATTGAAGTATAGGGCTGGAATCCCAAAGTTTGATATTGAGATCTCTTTTGGTATTTGGAATTGAGATATGGAGGTGGTTTTGGAAATATGTACTATAATTATACGAAAAGTACAAAATGTTACCATATTTGGTATTAGGTGAGGGAATAGAGATAAATTTCTGAAATTTGTTATTAGGATTACTGATGGTATCTGCATTTCAGAATTGGCGGTAGTTGGGCAATACGTCCTACAGGGTGACTGCAACCAATTTCAGACTGCTGTCATTTCTAAGCCTCACGTCTGACAGCTGTTAAAATTATTCCAGTGACAGCTCATTTTATTGTTTAGAAGAGTACAAAAGAATTTTTGTGAGAATTTCCAGAAAAAAAAGTTATTCGTGATGGAATTTAAGCGTGATAGTGTGATTTCTTTATATTTGGCTGGAAACCCACAAGTGGCTATCATTAGAGCACTACAACATTTAAATGTGACCGTGTTACAGTGATACTGGTAGCGTAGCCCGACGTCAAGGAAGTGGACGGAAGAAAACAGCAACATCAGCAGAAATAGTTCGAAATGTAAAGAAGCGACTTGATCGAAACCCGCGTCGCAGTGGCCGAAAAATGGCTCGTGAGCTAAACATATCGCAATATTCCATTCGGCAAATATTGAAAAATGAAATCGGGGTAAAGCCATTGAGTGCTTACACCGTAAAGGAAAGAAAATAGACTCAAAAGAGCTAAAGAGTTGCTTCGCTTGGCCGAAAGTGATGAACTGCCTAATTTGGTTTTCTCCGATGAGAAAACAATCGTTGTCCAGCTGTTTGCCAAAGAGGTCAGCTGAAAATGTGCACCTTCGGTTGGCCACCAGAACTCAAGAGCCGGCCATGGTGATGGTGTGGGCCGCCATAACAGCCAATGGTCACTCTCCGCTCGTATTAATCGACCGTGGTATCAGAATAAATGCCGAATATTATCGCGAAACTATTCTGGAGGGTGTATTAAAGCAATGGGTACGCAAACATTTTGGCCGCAGACTTTGGACATTCCAAAAGGACTCAGCACCATCGCCCTCAGCACGCGCCACCCAATAATGGTTACAATTTGAGGCTCCTCGCTTCATTTCCAGCGCACATTGGTCACCAAAATCTCCATATACCAATCCGTTGGGCTATTGTGTCTGGAGTATTTTGGAAAGCAAGGTTGGCACTAAAAAATACCAAAGTGTCGATCACCTCAAGCAAGCGCTTCGCCGGGAATGGACCAAAAAACCGCAGAGCAACATTCGGGCGGCGTGTGACTGTTTCATTGGCCGTTTGAAGGCCTTAATTCGAGCCAAAGGTGACCAATTCAAACAAATCTAAACTTATTCTAAAATTTGATGTTATTTCCGATATTTTTTGCTTTCATTAAATAACATTTAAAAAATATAAAAATTATGACGGTTGACTTTGTTGCGTTTTTTTTTTATCTCACCCTCTATATTTGTACGAAAAGTACATGTATTGAGATATGGAGGGGGTGTATAGTATCAGTACTAAAATTATATGAAAAGTACTAAATGTTTCTAAATTTGTGTAGACAAGCAAACAATCGTTGCTTGTCTACACTCGTCCAGCAATCTTGGTTTCAATAGAGAGTCAGTAGTGATTCACTATTGACATTTCCAACAGGATAATAACATCCCAAAAACTTCCCAATAATTCCACACCATACCCCTAGTTTTTTTTTGGAAAACATCATTCCAAAACAAAGTTGAGTTGTTTATTTTAATTTTAAAACAATTTACTGATGTTTATTGTTTACGAATGTGTAAACATTAATTTTACCTTTTTTTGATGGAAAATTTAAACAATTTTCTTTCCAAAAATTTAATAATTTGCGTGAAAGAAAAAACGCCATATCTGGAACAAGGCATTCAAGGAAAAAGTTGATTAAATTAAAAACCACCTTAAAAATTTAACAAATACTTTGAAAACTCTTTTGAGAAGAATAAAAATTTTCACATTTCACTGGAATGTTAAAAAAATATAGCAACATTCGCTTTTCGAAACATCTGTCTTCTAAATGATCCATGTGATTTATTTCGTAATGAAAAAATCGTGAAATATCTCGATGGGTTAAGTAGAGCAATGTATTTAAGAAAAAAGCTAGTTATATAAAATATTAATTCAAAAATGATTTAAATTTTTTAGAAGAATTAAAAATTTAACACTTCCCTGGAATTTTGAGAAGTTATTCCAGAATCTGTTTTTCCAGAAAATGTTTTTTTAATGACCCATTCGATATGTTTCTAGAAGAAAACCAGTAAAGAAAGTCTTAAAGTCGGGAGGGCCGACTTTATGATACCCTACACCACTTTGCATATTTAGTAGAGCTTCACATAACAATTAAAAATTTTTGTGATATAATTAAATCATACAAGCTATGATTATTATTTAAGTTCATAGGAACTAATTTGCCGAAGAATTTATATATTTTCAATTGGGGTTTGTATTGCCCATTTGAATTGAAATCGGATATAGATATATATGAGAACTATATCCAAATCTGAACCGAAAATTTGGCACAGATATTTCTGAGCTGTATTTGATATATGTCCCTAAATATCGTTGTTACGGAGTGCATATTATTACGGCTGTGGGGAAAATATACAACAAATCGGATGAAGAATATATATGGTAGCTATAGCTATATCTGAACCGACCTTCACGAAATTTGACGTACTAGCTTCTAGACTAAATTCGTGCCAAATTCCATTCCATTTGGTCTTATATTACACGTTTGGTGCGCAAAAAAATGCAAATCGGACGAATATATATATGGGAGCTATGTCTAAATTTTGACCGATTATCTCCAATTTCAATAGGGTTCGCCCTTGGGAAAACAAATGACTTGTGCAAAATTTCATCTCAATCGAATAATAAATGCGACCTGCATTTTGTTTACAAAAATACATGGACAGACTTACGGGCGGAAATGCATACATCGACTCAAAATGTGATTCTATGCTGATCACCAAAAGGAACTACGGGTCTATCTTGTTTCCTTCTCCATGTTACAAACAAATGTACAGGGACATAATACCCTTGCCACTATGTGGTGTAGGGTATAAAGAAGCCAACAAAAAATCTGTTTAATATCACGGCCAGGAAAAAAAACTATTGACAGTTTGAGTGGGAGGTCAAGGAAAAAGAAAAATAGTTTTTTTTTTTTATTTTGTTGGACCTTCTAGCATTGAAATTTGTTTGTTTTAATCAAATTGGAATTTGTCTTCGAGTGCCGATCGCCTCAAGCTGTCTCAAGTAGCTGCCGAAATAAATGCTTAACCTCATTCGATGATAAATGTTTTTCTTAGAGTTTTTTAAATCTATTTTTTCCCATTTTCAAGTATTGGTGGCCGGAAAATGTTTATTTATTATCACATCAAGACAACAACACCCTCTCAAAATGACCAGCAATAGTTTCGTAGTGGTTTTTTTGTTTATTTTAAAAGCCATTTTTTTAATTTCTAATTATTCTTAATTAGTTTGGCAATTAATTTCATTATTTGGTCGTCGTTGTTGCTGTCATTTCTTAATATAAAAATAATGGTGTTTGGAATTTTTTGTTTTACTCACCTTTACACACTCGTCGATGATTCAATGGTTTGCTGGGATCCCGATAGAAACCCTCTTTGCAATAATGACAGTGGCGACCCGTTGTCGAGTGTCGACAATTGGTGCACACACCACCCGACACACGTCCGGACAATTTGAAAAGTTCCATATTGAAGCGACATTGGCGGGCATGATTGTTGCAATTGCAAACTGGAATGAATAAGAGAATAAAAACACGAAAAAGAAAACAATTAGAAAGAAAAATAAAAAATTGAGATTTAAAAATAATGAATAAATATTGTGATATGTCAAACAAACTGAGATCATCAGCAATGTGCCTCGCCATTGAAAATCGATATTTTTGTATAAAAAGTAACAATTAGCGAGGCATGATTTAAAGAATATTCTCAAAAGTCTACTTTCAATAGAAAATACGTATTTTTTATTAACAAAATCAATCCTTAGCAAATGAGGAATAGAACATTATCGGTCCTCGGTAAATTAAGATTTAAAAAGTCAATAAAAAAATTAGAATTTTTTCAGGTAAAAAAATTCAATCTTCAGTAACTTAGGATTTTTTTTCCATAGAAAAAAATTAATTCTGAGTAAATTAATTTTTTTTATATAGAAAAAAATCTATGCTCAGTTAATGAGGGGTTTTTTTCTTTAAAGAAACTAAATCTCAAAGAAAACAAGGAAAAAAGCTGTAAGTTCGTCCGGGCCGAATACCCTCCACCATTTGGAACAAATTTGGAATTTTCAAAAAAAAAAAATCCGTTAAAAATTCAGTTAAAATCTTAAAAATAGTCATATATTAGACGATGGGGAGCTGCATTGACAACTTTTGTCATAAGCTATTACAATGTTCAAATGTGAAACTTGAAAAAAATGTAGCTAAAATCATAAAAAATACCGAATATAGGGAGGTACCATGGAGTACGTGGACCTGCACCGACAATTTTCTGTCATAGACTGTAGTATCCATTACGAACTTCAAATACCACATTTGAAATAATTCCGGTAAATAATGTCGCTAAAATCATCAAAATACCGAATATCATGATGTACCGTTATATGAGGGCTATACGAAGAAGTGGTCTTGTACAGACAATTTTCTGTCATAGACTGTAGTATCCATTACGAACTTTAAATACAAAACTTGAAAAAATTCTGGTAAATAATATCGCTAAAATCATCAAAATACCGAATTTTTATACCCGACACCACAAGGTGGTCAGGGTATTATGTCTTTGTGCATTTGTTTGTAACAGGCAAAAGGAAACGAGATAGACCCATAGTTCCGTTTGATGATCTGCATAGAATCACTTTCTGAGTTGATTTATGCATGTCAGTCCGTCTGTCCGTCCGTCCGTCCGTCCATGTATTCTTGTGAACAAAATGCAGGTCGCATTTATTATCCGATTGAGATGAAATTTTCCAAACAACATTTGTTTGGCCCAAGGACAAACCCTATTGAAATTGGAGATAATCGGTAAAAATTTAGATATAGCTCCCATATATATCTTCGTCCGATTTGCTTTTTATTGTGCACCAAACGTGTAATATCAGCCCGAATAGTATGAAATTTTGCACATACAACCAAATTAGGTCTGAAAATAAGTATGCCAAATTTGATCGAAATCGGTTCAGATAAAGTTATAGCTCCCATATATATTGTTCATCCGATTTGTTATTTTTGTCCTCCGCAGCCGTAATATGCACTCTGTAACAACAATATTTGGGGAAATATATCGAATGCAGCTCAGAAATACCTTTGCTAAATTTTATCGAGATCGGTTCAGATTTGGATATAGATCCCATATATAACTTCGTCCGATTTACCTTTTATTGTGCACCAAATGGGATGGAATTTGGCACATACGACCGAATTTAATCTAGAAGGTAGTATGCCAAATTTGGTGAAGATCGGTTCAGATATAGCTATAGCTTCCATATATATTGTTCATCCGATTTGTTGTATTTGTTACCTACAGTCGTAATATGCACTCCGTAACAACGATATTCAGGGAAATATATCAAATACAGCTCAAAAATATCTTTGCCAAATTTTATCGAGATCGGTTCAGATTTGGATATAGTTCCCATTTCAAATTAATTTTGCACCAAATGGGCAATACAAGTCCGAATTTAAAAGATACAAATGCTTTGGCATATTTAGTCCTGTGAATTTTAAATTATAATTATAATCATAGCGTGTATGATTGAATTCTCCCATAAAAACTTTTAATTATTAAGTGGAGCTCAACTAAATTAGCAAAGTGGTGTAGGGTATCATAAAATCGGCCCCGCCCGACTTTAGGACTTTCTTTACTGGTTTTCTATAAAAAATCCTATATTTTATTTATTTATAGAATAATAATATATGTGTTTATATTCCCAAAAAATGCAACAATAAATAAATAAAATATCTATAACTAATTAACTTGACCCATAAAAAAGCGTTTGTGGTGACATAATAACTTTTGTTGTTGGGATGATATTTACATTTTAACAAGTTAAATGAAAACCATTAAAAATTAATCCAAAACGATAAAAAGATTTATTTTTTAAATTACAATTCGATTTGGTTGTTAATTTGAAACCATTTCATGACCAGATGTTGGTTACAGTGAAACCCAACCGAACTAGTTTCGCTTGTTTCGATTTTGTTATTGTTGTCCATATTATTTTCGGAACGTATGCTGGCACTGCTGCCGTTTTTATTGGCTTTAGTCTGTGTTAACATGGCTTAAACAATTTGTTAACTAGATATTAATTTTTAAAGCCATATCATAAATGTTTACCCAAACAATTTGCATATTGTCAGCATCGGATTTGAAGAATTTTGAAAAGAAACAAACATGTTTGTTTTGGCTAAATAATTGAAGATTGACTTCAATGGCCGGGCGGTCAGGTTGGGTAAGAAGAGTATCAAACACATGGCAAAAAACGTTTTTTGTTAAATATTTTAAAGGTCTAAACCACAAGCAATTTTGCCCAAACTCAAATAATCATTAGATTGCCAACTGTTTGTGTGTGCGTGTTTGTTTTATTGATTTTAATGTGTTTTTTTTTATTTTGGTATGGATTATTTTGCCTGACATATTTGGTTTGAAATCTCATGTTATGTGGGAGTATTGAAAGCTTTATGCTGATATGACAAGTTATGGGTATTGAAAAATAAGAAATGAATATTTCAAATAATTTGTTTACAATTTGCTTAGCTATTATTTTAGGTGATTTGATCCACAAAGGAATTTTAATGGCCGCATTAAAATAAATCATTTCGCTTTAAATGGCATTATTGGTCCAATATTTTTATCGTGACAACAATGACAAATAAACATGTTGAAACGTATCAGTCGATATGGCCGACAGATGTATACCCTCAGCCAATGTTCGCTTATTTAAATATATTTTGACTTCCGTTATGATTTTTCAAATTGGAGTAGTATCGGACCTAAATAAGTTAGATATAAATATTGAGACGTGTCAGGTTTGGACTATATTGGTTACTTCCTTCACTTTATTAGAAATATGTGATAATTTGTATTGACCGAAGTATTCTGATTTCATACTTCATCTAATACGTATAAAGTTATTGGTATGAGCAAAATTACAAGAAAATCGAACATTTATTTCCGATTTTATGCAAAATCATAAATTTCGATAAATTTCATATTTTTTATCAGGTTTCTGGTTGAGAAAAATATTTATATATACCAAGTTGTAAAGAATCGCTGACTTGTTTCGCAAGTTATGACAGATAAATTATTGAAAATTATAACCCTTTATGGGTGAGATACCCTAAGTAGAAGAAATGGTCCAATCTCTACCATTTTTATAACGGATCTTGTGTTCATGAAAATATTGAGATGTACCAAGTCTGAATGAAATACAGGGTTGCCCATATTCGACGGACCCATCTGGCAACGCCATAACTTTTGACAGAGATGTCACATACCTTAATTACATACCGCGTTTGAAGCGTCAGTCCAAGCAGATTTTTACCATGAACCAAAACACGCCACGCGAGGTACCAGAAGGAATGTTCCGATTCCTACCATCTTTATAACAGATCTTGTGTTCATAGATATATTGAGATGTGCCAAGTCTAAATGGAACCGGATGTAAATTTCGCATTTTATGAGCTTCATGAGTATTCAAAATGTTGACCCTTTGTGGGGGAGGTACCACAGAGAATGGACATATCCATATGCACATATCCCATATTCACAGCAGATCTTGAAATAAAAAGATGTTTGAAATTAGAAGAGAATCGGATGGTTATTTCGGATTTTATGATCGTTTTGGTTATTTAAATTTTTGATCCTTTGTGATCCTTTGTGAGGGAGGTACCAGAAGGAGTGGTATATTTCATCTTGGTGTATATATTTCATCTTGTGTTAATAAGCATATTGAGATTTGAGAAATCCGATGAAAATCCGATGGTCATTTCGCATTTTAAGACAGTTAAACATTTTGACCCGTTGTGGGGGAGATACCAGAAGGAGGGGGTCTATATATTCCATGTTCACATCAGATCTTGTGTTGATAAAAATATTGAAATGTGCCGAGTTTCATAGTTATTCAAAATTTCGATGCGTTATGGGGGAGATACAGAAGGAGTGGTTCAATTCGTTCTTCATGCCAGATATGGACTTGGTAGAAATATTGTGTTGTACGAAATCTAAAGACAATCGGACTCTTATTTCACATTTAATAATCATAACGATTATTCAAAATTGTCATCCTGTGCGGACGAGGTACTTAATGGAGTGGGCCGTTATTGTGTATCTTCGCACATGACCTAGGTTTTAAAAAGTTTGCACAAAATTGAATAATTCTGCCTTGTTCTGTAAGTTAAATTATTTTCTCCGAAAATTTTGACATTTTATGGAGGAGGTACCAAAAGTAGTGGACCGATATTGTCCCTCTCCGAACTCGATGCAAGTTTGATAATAATATTACTATGCATCAAGTGTGGACCAAATCAGGTATCCCCTTCGAGATTTATCGTACGCAACAGCCAGCCAGACACCCCTAGATTGAGTCCAAATGTTCTGAAACGGATTTGGTCCGAAGAAACCTAGGGTCTAAAACCGTTGTTCCGATGAGGCACGTTTTGGCCGTACCAAATGATATATTCCCTCTGTAGTCATATGGCTGAGACTATAAAACTACTACATTTGGTTCCACGTGTAGCTATA